CCTCAGCACCAACACAGAATCACTAGCTTTGTAGCCTTGAGTTCTCTCTCTTCCAAGTTCATCGTCAAAGAAGCTCAAAAAACAGAACACAGGTCGTATTTCCCTGCACATAGCCAAAACTCCACCTGACAAGAGACTGAGTGGATCTAACATAGCAGTCAGCAGCAGCAAAAGTACTTGAAGAAATAATGCAGAGCATCTGTATGAATAGTGAGCAGCCTTTGGATCAATTACACCCTTTTCAAAAAGCACAGCAGCTTCCTATGGGTTGAAAACTTGTCTTATTAAATACCAGCAGCTGGTGATAGCTCAGCAGCCCTTCCTGAATACATGCTGCATCGCTGGTGTTCTGGGGGAAAGAGTTTTCTCCCTCTATGAGTCAGGGAGTCACCAGCTCTCTTCTAGGAGCATCTGTGTGTCTGCAAGTGGGGCGTGACTATGAAACGCTAAAGTGAGGTGGAGGTGAGACCTTGGGCACTTCTGGATTTGCAAGCCACAGCCCTCTTACTGCCACAACTTTTTGTAATCCGTACGTTCTCAGAACATCTGGAAGCACATCACTGCAGTTCCCTCAGGAAGAATTAGGATGGAGTAAGGTACCAGACCTGTACTTACCTTGACAGCATCCCTGCTGTGAGGCTGGAGACAGGACAGAGACCCCACCATGAATTGTCCCTACCTGAGGGACACCAACACAGCACCAGTCCTTCGGGCAGGGGAACGCTGGGGCTGGCGCTAAAGCTGGCGTGCCCCAGGGGAAATAAGTTCCTTAAGTCATACGCTGCCTCTCACACCTATGCAAAAAGGCAGCCGCCACCTTAAATGGATAACAACACGAAAAAAATCTCTTCAGAACACAAACACACATCTTACCTCGTTTCGTAACTGCTGTGACCTGATGCAATGTTCAAGTAAGAAATAAAAGGCCATGCTTTATGCTCAGTTATCTTTAGCACCCAGAAAACATTCGGCAAATAAACCATTCTTTGTTTAGATGGGAGAGAAGGGGATATTCAGCATTAAGTGAAATTTTCCATAAAATTTGACACGTCTTGGCAAAGGCTACACAATTAGCAATTTTGTCTCCCTTGTATATTTTTATGCTTCAGATAAAAATAATTCTCATTATTTTTCTACAGAATCAAGGATTAGCAGACCTAGTGCTATTAAAATTTGACCTTTCCAATGTGACCACTCTTAATGCAGCGTGCATCTTTGCCAAAGAAGTGCCTCTGCACCCACATGTCCTTACAAATAAGAAGCTGCCTTGCCTAGTAAGCAAATTGAGAAGTTTACAAGATTAAAACTGCATTTTACATTATTTCTTGAATTTCTAGAATCCTTCCTTACATGAGCAATTTTATCAGACATTACTTCTTTATTTACAAAGGTCAAAGCTATGTAGACATTATAGCTGTAAGAAGTGAGTCTTCAGAAGGGTCACATACCTATAAATAGTGGTCAAACAACAAAGAAGTGGGGAAAAAAGAACTTTTAAAACAGATCTTAATGGATAAGATCATATTTCCAGAAACTGAACTGTGGAAAGTGGAATGATGAGAGTGGTAACTCTGTTTTTAAATATCCATAATTAAAAGCTATTTTTTCCCCTGCATATAGACCGCCAAGACAAAAATAAGCTTTGGTGTGAGGCCACTGACAACAATGAGTTTGGTTCAATTAAGCCCATCCAGTGCATATTAAATTAAAAGATATCAAGAAACATTTGTACCATAATTAAATGCACAGATAACCTGGGGTATGGTAAGAGAAGAAAGAAACAAGATCACCTGGACTAGCTTGTCATAAAGCAGTGAGCTTCAGTTACTCCAAATAGAGCAGACTGCCCAAAACTGTTTTTATCACATAGGGTTTGTTTTCTTTTTTCCTTACTTGTATACTTCCAAATGTGCTAGATGTATTGCTGAAAAAGACATTAAGCACTTGAAAAGAGAGTATCTTTAATCTGCACATTTATTATCAAGAAGAAAAAAATAAAGAAAAGATTTGGAGGAGTAGCAACAGTACATGTAGTCCACACTCACAAAATAAAAGCCAACTGAGCTCTATGTGAAAGCTCAACTGCTCCAGAAGAAGCTCTCCAACAATGACTAGTTACTCAGGACATCACATCAATATTGGCCCATATTCCAAGCTAAATTCCAACTAGCTGAACAGTAAGATAAAGGACATAAACAAGGAGTTATCTCACCTATATACCAGGTATGCTCACAGGTGGGCACAGTAGAACTACTGATACCATGAAGCACCTCTGAGAGCCTTGTAAAGAGATGAGAATGTCAAATTTCACTGCAAGAGGCTATCCATGGTCATTGTAACCATCTTTATGCCATCCTCCAACATGTTTACAGGACATCCCCAAAGCATCAGCAAAACTCTGATTGTCCTCTTTGAAGTCCCTCTTCTAAAAACTGCATTTTGCCCTGAAAAAGCCCCATTAGCAGTCAGTGATTACCTGAGGCGAGCACCTGCCACAAGGATTGCTCCAATGTTTTGTCACACTCCCTCCAGCTCTGGACCAATTCTTGCCATTTGCCTTGGAGTGCAATGGAAGTACTGCCCTTCTAGTTTATACTTAAGCAATTTCTTGCACTGACACTCCTGAGACACGATCAATGGAAATTACTAATAATAAAAGATTGAACACTTGAATGAGGCATAGCTCCTGAAGTGACTTCAGCTGACAGCTGTTAAGGGAAATTCTTAGGTCACTCCCAGAAATTAGCCCACAGACAAGGTAACCCTCTCTTGCAAAGTAACCACACAGATAACAGTCATTTATACTTTCATCTTTCGGTTCAATAGAACTTAGATTGCATTATAGGCCTAGTTTTGTACTGCCACTCAACACGACATCATTTATACCCAGGAAAAATAAGTACAAGCTGAGAAAATTAATATGATACGCTTTTAAATCCTATTCTTAGAAAGGGATGAACAACTATACTTCTGAGCCAAAGCCATCTTTGATGCAACTTCATGCAGGATGTTGGCCTGACATATCAGCCCCTGCCTAGCCACGTTCACAGGAATATTCTGGAAGAGTGCTCAACAAGTCAGTGCAATAGCTGTAGGGTTTATAACAGGTAAGTTATAGAAATCAGATTAAATGAAGGAAAGAGAAGGTGAACAATGTTACAGATCACATCACCTTCAACAAGAAGTACTTTAACTGTTGACCATCTCTTTGAGTAGAGTAATAGCTTTGGGAAGCTATTACTCTTTATTGACCCAAAGCTTTGACTTCATTCTACTAACGTTGTACTTCACATCACCCAGTCACTTCAAATCACACAGCTGAGGACTATTCAGTAACCTTACAGAGTTTCTTCTTTCCACACAAAAGCTCTGCCTACTGCAAAACCAACTTCAGTTTAGCATTTTCTCTTAAGGGCTTCATGCTGGAAGGTGTTAGGGTGTGGCTGTTTTGTTGGTGGTGGTGGTGACTTTTCAATTTTTTTAATTCAGTACTACAAGAAAGTCAATTACCCACTGCTCTATCTGAAAAGATAACAAAAACATAGTTGTCTATCTTTCCTGTTGAGCGTGTTTGCCAGCTTTTTAATAATGGTAATTAAGTGCATTAACCGCTTAGACATAAAAAGTACTAAAACTAGATGTTTTAAGGACCTCTTTCTGAATGTTTTTGATACCTGTAGACAGCTCACACAAAAACAAAGATCTCATTTGTTTTCTAACCATGGAGAGAACGGCCAGGAGGACTTAGAAATGGCATGTAGATATTCATCTTACTCATTTCAATAGAACTTCCATTGACAAAGTCCCTTTGCATACAACAAAACATATCAAGAAACAGAAGTCTGACTGTTTGAAGGTTGCACTTTCCAACAGGTATAAAGCGAACCTGAAACAGATAATTAAAAATCTGATGTTGGTTACACCTATCAAGAATAATTTCACTGACATACTGCATGAATTTATAAAAGGAACCGCAAAATATGGCTTGCCATTTTTGTTTCAAAACGCTTTGAAAATATGCACTGCGTTTCCATGTAGATTCCACAGCATTAAGAACACTCAGAAGAACAGTTGCTGGTTTTGTTGAAGGGAAAAAAAAAACATGATAAGTAACTCCCACATCTTTGCACACTGTTTAATCTTTTAATCTTTGGGCAGATTAATGCCTGTAACTACCACCTGATCAGGATGGTGTAATTCTACCAGTCCAATCGATTATAAAAAGTGAAAGGCAGAAGCAAGTCTTTCATACTTATGAAAAATATAAACTCCTCTGCTATTAAAGCCTTTTCAAGAGATTTCTTGCCAGTTGTACAGGAAGGCTCTTAATCCTTAAAATTTTAATCAAAAGAGTAGCAAAAGCACTAGGAAAACATTGGCTAAGAAATCAAGAGCTCATGTTTTAAGCTGTTTTTGCTAGAAGCCTGTTAGAAGAAGAATTTAAATAAACATTCACAAAGCATGTCATACAGACCACTTACATTAATTCATTGTAGGTTATGTGTGGTGAGATCGGGACTACACAGAGTAAAGGACATTGTGCAGCCTTCATTTCCATCACAACACGGGGATTGTTGTGAGCTGCCTGCACACCACTCGCACGCTTGATTCACGCTACAGGTTCTCCAAAGGACTCTTTCATGCGCTGCAGCCGAGCGGGCTAACAACTTAAACACCCCAGTTACAGAAAATTGTGAGACCAAAAAAATGAAAACGGTGAATGTGTAAGAAGCCACGATCCCTCGTTAAGCTGTTTAAACGTTAATCAACCCTTCACTTCCCCCCTCAGCTCGAAGGGGTCGGGGAGCAGCCCCTGGGGGCAGGGACCCGGGGGCTTGCAGCAGTCGGCCCTGAGGGAACGGGGGCGGTATAGGGGCTAGGAAAGAAGGCAGAAAACGGCTGTACTTGTTGCCCACCACCCCAAAAAAGCTACGCAAGGGGAAGCCTGAGGGGGACGGGGGCAGAGAGCACAACAACCAGCTCGGGCGCCGCTCACTTACCCCACTCGCCAGCTCCATGCCCAGGCAGACAAGCAGCAGCAGCACCCACAGCAGCCTGAGGGGAGGCGAGAGCACAGAGAGGGTCACGGCGGGGCCGGGGAAGGAAGGAAAAGGGGAAGGGGAGCGAAGGGGCCACCGCGCCCCAGCACTCACCCAGCGCAGCCCATGCCGCCGGAGGAAGGGGAGGACGCCCTGCGCGGCTCAGGGAGCGGGGGTTCCCCCCCAGCCGCCTCTCGGTCACCTCCTCGTCCCTGCGGCGCGCAAACAGCAGAGTTTGCGCGGCCACAGCCGGGACGTCGAACCTGAGGTGCGGGGAGTAGAGCGCAGCCCCGCCCGGCCCCGCCGCCCGCCCACTCCTGAGGTGCGGACCCGGCACCGCCAGCGGCCCCCAGTGCCGTCGAACCTCCCACACATCCCGCTGCCTCCGCCGCGGAAAATAGTCCGGGGCTAGACGGCCACCAGACGAGGCAGCGGGGAAAGGCAAAAGGCTCCCGGCCTCCGTTCCGCCAAAACCCCGACGCCCGAACCGTGGAGGGCAGGCGGGGAGCGGCGGGCGGGGAGCCACGGCCCCCGCTACTCAGCGCGGAGCGACCCCTTCCCCACAGACGCGCTGGGGGCCGCCTGTGGCGCGGATGAATCTCGCGGGGCGGGCCAGTGCCAGTAGTCTCGGGAGGACTTGAGCCGGGAGGAGCGGGGCGAGCGCGGCAGAGGGGTGGGCGGTGGTGGCGGCGGCGGGGTGGTCGGGGTTGCTGCTCGGAGCCAGCCGGGCTACCCGCGCCGGGCTATGCCCGCGCCTCACGCCCGCTCCCGGACCTCCTGAGGTGGCTGCGAGGATGGAGCCGCGGTGGTGGAGCCGCAGCCCAGCCGCCGGATGCTTGGTGGTACTGCTCTTGGGGTGCTGGCGGCTGGACGAGGCGGCGGCGGCGGTGAGTGTGGGACGTCCCTGGGTTCTCCTCAGGAGCTGGGGGGCAGCTTTGGGGTCCCCCTGGGGGCTGCCGGCTGCGGGGAGCTGACCGCAACTCGGCTCGGAGCGGGGCTGAGGTACCGGGGGGGCCGTGTGCGGGAGGCAGGGGGACAAAGGAGGCCGGACGCCCCCCTCCGGCAGGGCTGGGGGCGCCCCGAAGGCCCCGGGGTGCTCCTCAGGTAGTGCTGGGCGCCCGTGGTAGGGGCGAGGAGGAGGAAGAGGAGGAGGAGGAGGAGGGCGCTGTGCTGCCCCTGGGGTGCTCGCCCTGCCTCCCCTCACAGGGCTGGGGCAGGGGGTACCGGCTGCTGGGTCAAGTGCTTCACGGGGACCTGCTGCTGGCGAGGGGTATGGAAGGGGACAGGCTCCTGTTCAGCGTGCACCAGCTCCTGTCTGTTTTTTATGATCCACTGCTTGGGGCGATAACTTTCCTGAAGCTTCCTCGGAAGAGAAAATGAGTTTGGGTTTCTGATGTTTCAGATTGTTCCCCAGTTGAACAGCGGTCCTAACAAGAGCTGTGCAGCACCTCTTTGCTGTGGCCCTACTCCACGCGCGGTTTTGTAGATAGAGCCGACAAAATCTTCCTTGTCTGGAGCTCCTTTGAAGTGCATTCCTTTACAATCAGACCTGGTAGACCTTTCGTTTGCCCTTCCAAACAGTAAAGACTGGCTGTAATGCTCTCCTCTACTCTTCCACCCCTTCTTCTTCCCAGGTGTGCACCCAAACATGAGTGACACCAGTGTGTTAGCAGTGCTTAGCTGCTCACCTTCGCGTTGCCTGCGGTGCTGCTTCTGGCCCCAGACTATTTCTCATAAGGTTTCCCCACTTTTTACCCCTTAAAGGAGGGGCTGGGTCAGTTCCACCTGCAGGATTTCACTGTTTTAGGAGGTGGGGATTGAAGAGGGATGGGTCTGTGTGTATAAATACAGCTCTCCCCACTCCTTTAGGAAAGCCCTGAAGCAGAGGGGGGGTGTGAGTGGTGGGAGGCTGTGGGGTCCTGGAAGGAGATGCTGCTGGGCCAACCCTGTCAGCAGCCCTGTGCCTCAAGAGAAAAGAAAGGAAAAAAGCAAAATGGTGGAGTTCGTGGATCTCAATGCCACCATGTGCTACAGGCTTTCTTTTAGGATGAGCCTCCTGGGGTTTTACTGCCCCACGGTGAGATGAGATTAACTCAAGACCTGAGGGCTAGTGGGGATGGGAGCAAAAGGCAGGCAGCTCTGTTCCCAACCTACGTAAATCCTGCTGACTCTCTGGTTTCTTAGCACTTTGGTGTTCTGATGCCCTTGAATCTCCCGTGATGGTTACAGTGCTGAATTATGTTGACCCTTATCAATTTGGATCAGCGTTTTACTCTTCTGATGGTCAGAAGAGGTAGAACTAACATTATAGCAGTATGCATAATGCATACAGTCTCTTTGTGAATATTGTTCTGGGGCCTTATGTTAGGTTTCCACATCCCAGCTGCCCACCCCAACAGCATAATCCTGGTGGGATGATTTGAAGTCATTTTGGTGTCCTGACTAACATATCTGAGCTTATTCAACCTCCTTATGCACACTTAAAATGTAAAAATCATGTTGTCTTTGCTCTGGATTGTAGGACTATCTATGTTACTTGGTAAGTACAAGGTGACAGAGCATTGCTATTATCTGTCCATGGAGGCAATGACTTAATAAAACCGTCAGAAACCCGTACTCAGTACGGATGAATTTAATTGTTCAGGTTTTATTACTGGATTTCCATTGCCCTTAAGCCATAAACTCAGCTTGGTGAGTAGGATATGGGTCATGCAGTGCACTCATACAGACTGAGCGGTGATGTAAGGTGAAGCATGTAGGCGCTGGCTAGCAGCATAAAAGTAGCTGGGAGTCAGACTGGTGCTACTGCAGAGTGGGAGGAGGAAAGGGGTAGGATATGGTGGCAGCTGCAATGGAGTACAGGAGAGGTACTTATTTGCTGTCATCAGAGTATGCCAGTGCTTATGGGGCAATATTGTTGCCTAAAAGACTTGGTGTTTCTTATGTAATTCCACATATACATATATAAGCCAACTAGTTTCTATTATAAGCAAAGTGCTTTTCCCTCTCCTGCAGGCTTACCCTTACTATTATAGAGAAGTGATCTGAAGTTGCAATTGTGGAATTCTTTAGTTAAAGAATGGAGATGAGCTAGATTATTGATGTGTGTTAATCTATGAAACTCCATTGAAGTTAGTGACTGCTTATTAGCTCTTATTGGGGGGGAACCTTTATGGCTAAGGCCTAGATGTTTAGTGTGTGTAAATGGGCTTTGTATGCCCTGAAGTTGTCAAAAATAAAAGTCTTGCAATGCCTTGTTTTTCTTTGCCTGCATTTTTTATTCCAGTTTGACATGAGTATATGCATGTATCTCATGTAGTTAATTACACTGTACTTAATTAATATTCTTGATGTGTATATGGTAGTTGTCTCCTTTGGACCCAAATACTTTTCATGGGATTGGTTACCATTATCTTGCATTTCATAACTGCCTGGCTCTCTAGTTATGAAAGCTAGGTCTTGAAAAGCAGGATGGAATGGATGCTCGCCTGCAGAACTCAAACAATATTTCATCCTGAAATTCCGAGGATGTGTCTTGATCAGTCATGCACAAGACTGTTGCATAACATCAAGGTTCAAGCCCTCACACTTGCGACTTGTCACTTGTTGTGTGTTTTGCCTTTCATGGCAAGGACCTTTCATGGTTTGTGAAGATGCACAGTAACAGTTGTATCTCAGGATGTGCTCTGGTGTATACTGAAATGCAAACAAATCCAAGGAATTCTGCATGAAACCTAACAACACCCCTTTGGACAGTAACATCTAATCTTTTGTAGCCATGCATAAAAAATAGTTATGGATCTTATTCAGTTTTGCTACATGATGAAAATAGACTGATAGTTCAGCAGAAACTCCTAGCATACTCCTAGGGCCTCTGCTTAGGCACTTTCTGGTGTTTTCCTCATTATGAATGGATTCATCTACTCACTGTAAGCAATTATCTAAGCTACATACCCTTTTTTTTTTTAAAGAAGGAAGGGTAAACTTTCCTAGGATGAAGTGTTCCCTGGTTTATTTAACAGTTCTGTAAATTCACGGTGACCTTTCTACACTGAATAAGGAGTAGTGCTCACCATAATGCAGTTAGCTGCTGTTAGCTTTACTGGAACACGCCGGGACTTATCAGTCCTACAAAAAAACTGAAATCAGAAAGAACACCCTGGCAAAGTTACCAGGCGTATTTTCTCTCTGGGACAAAGTGCGGCGCGGAAGCGGTTCCGCAGGCCATGAGGATGTACGGTGCACTCTGACCCTCCCTTTGCTTAAATGAAAGCTCTCCCCTAATCGCATCAGCTGTGTAAACTCTCCCCTGCGCATCACCACTTAACAAGATATCTAGATAACGCTTGCACGTTCGAGGAATAGTGTTATGCAAGCGTGCCCGAGCAGCCTCTGCCAATAATGATAATACCAGACAAATTGCTGGGAGTGAAAGCACTTTTTGCCTGACTGTTGCATCAGGCTGTCTGGACTTGAACTCACCAGGGTGCTTTTAAGCTGGTGCTCTGCCCAGTTTTTGGCTATCTGATGTCGACTTCAGGCTTCTCTGCTAAGAGCAGGTGGCTTACAGCACCGAACGTGTAAAAATGTGTTCAAGAGGTGTACTTCTGGTATGGTTTTAAGCATCCTTTGCCTTCCTGTGGGAGGTTAACAATGCAATTAAACAGTATGAAGTGTTGCTGATGCAGTGCAGCTTTCTGAAAAGGAAACTTGCTGAAAGCCCTGGTTATGTAATTGCAGATGGGTGGTGTGCAGAGGAAAAGCTTCAGCGTACCAAGGACTTATCACCAGCGTGAATGCAGCTGAGCTGCAGAGGAAAAGGTCCTGTTTGTTTGTTTGTTTGTTTTTAAAAAAAAAGAAAAACGCCAATAGTAATCTAATTATAAAATAACTTTTGTTTTAAGCCTTTCTCACAGAGCTCATATCTTTCTTGGAGAATTTGTGAAGGAGATAGTCCTAAACTTAGGATACTGCATGTGGGAGATACGTTCTTAATTTTAGGGTGAAGAGCTTTTTCCAGTCACATAATTTTGAAATTATATTGTGAATTAACCATTTTAGCGTTGACTTGGTGGTAATTTTTCTCTAAAAGTCTGATTCTTAAACTGTACTATGGACATTTTTAATATTCTTGAAAAAGACACCTGTAATTTTGTCTTTCGTTTATGAAACCACGTCTCTGTTCCCACAGTCCAAGGGGGAGTCTGGGGTAAATACCGACCTGAGGCCCCTTCCAACCTGAATCATCACAGGGCTCTAAACGGAACTATGTGAGAGTAAAGCCGTGCTCTGAAGCCT